CTTATGGTATCAGTTTTTTGTCCTTCAGTCATTGAATTTGTTTCTTCTAAAGTTTATGTCATACTTTAATTCCTTACAAAGAAATTGTTTCTTCACCTTTTCTTCTCTCAAGTATCCCGTGATAAATATCCCATAACCTACAAAAACAGAGAAATAACAGAGTAAATAACAACAGTATACTACAGTTTGTTTAGCGAAGTTTGGATCAAAGCTATATTAACTTTTAAAAAACGCAGAAATGTTATGAGAAGAGTATATATAACCCAATATGCCAAAACTGAAGTGGAAATGCATCAAAGAAGTGGTTTATATCATTTCGATGTAGCAACAGAAACTGAAATGTGTTTTAAAAGCTTATTAAGAATCAAACCAACCTTATAGTTTCTACATGAACACACACGGAATCCATACGATTATCTTTTAAATACATTACTAACATAAGTTGTAAAGTAAGTAAAAAGTTCTAAGAAAGAAAAAAAAAACATAAGTTGTAAAGTCCAGTTATCAAACAAATCACAATTGTTTATTTAATCAAATCTTTAGAAGGCATAAATCAAAGGACAAAACATAAAGGATGAAGTCACAATTTAACGTTGTTGCAAGGTGGATCCACCCAAGCGAACCGGTTAGTAAAATAGACAATTCCACTCCGATGCGGTGTATATATTATGGTCTTCTCTTTCGCCGAGGGACCAGCTCTTGTAAGAGAGTAAAAGGGACCTCCAAATATTGTCAAGCCACCAAGTTCTCTCATCTCTTCCCATACATTGCGTTTAAGGTTTAGTTTAAACAACTTTGGGTTGTAGTTGAGGTATGTATACACAAAGATATCTCCTTCATGCTCCGTAATCATCACTGGCCTAACGAAATCACCTGGAGAGGGTTTCACTGGAAGAACAATCGAGGTTTTTCTAGAAGGATCAAATACACCAATGCAATCCTAGTAACTTAGACAATACAACATACCATTAAAGTAGACACATTTGTTCCAGATATGATCCTCGGTTAACTGTTTCTCAAAGCGATGTGTGGTCCATACGGTTTCACCAGGCCGCCAAGTAGTGATAACATATGAGGACATACTTGTAGTGTTGAAAGAGACTACAAAACAACTACTTGATGTCGGAGCGGCTGAGAAAGCTACGCAATAGCCTGAGGAATAGCTTGGCCCCTTGGGTAAGTAGATGCGCTCCCAGGTAACAATAAAACCGATGGGTAACCTTTTATCATAAGCAACCAACCATCCCTAGAATCAGAGAAACTATCGAAATTCTTCAATTCGGGAAGATTGAGCTTAAATGTTTGCGAACTTGATGGGTAAGAAAGAATGCAATCTCCTCTGTCTTCTGGTTCTTTTTGTTGATAAAAAAACCAAGGACGAAGCTGTAACTTCCGGACAGAAACAGCTACTTCACACCATGTCTTGCATATAGCAGAAGCTCGTATGTTGTTCTTAAATCCGTGGCGGGACAGTATCTCTTTGAGGAGCTATGAGGGAATAATTAGATCCCACAATCCTGTAACACACGTCCTTTTCGATCCATTATCTCCTCTAGCTTTTATATTGCATGTGCAATTAC